CAGTAGCTGCAATTTGAGTCACCATCTGATTACATTTACATTAGTCCACAGTCATTCTTCAAGATCATTCAACTGCACAGGCCAAACAGCTGAGTTAAACGGGCATGTGACAAGTGTCACTACCTCCACCTTGAAGCCTTTGATGTTGGCACTAATTTCTACAGTTACACCAGTAGTACAGCACTGCTTATGATTTACTATCTTGGTAGGGATGGGAAGTTCCAGAGACTTCTACTAGGCCCTTACTACCATAAAGGCCCTCACTCCATGAATCAGAGAGCCAATGTAGAATTTTTGTCTGTTATCAAGTATGTCTATTCCAATCCTATGTACAGTAACTGGGGAAACTAACCACAGAGTGTATCCACAGAACAGGTGGGCTAGAGCCAATCAGACTTAAGTCACCATCTATCACCTGACCACCATAATCCCCCATTTTGAAGAGGGGCCGCAGTGCTGTTTTGAGTCCCTAGGAATTAGCATCAATTCAGAGCCAATGTTTAGTAATCTCAAAAGGTCTGGATATTTCCTTTTCTCCAGTGCATAGTCACTCTAATAAGTAGCCACATGTCCATTGGGTAAGGCTTGGAGGAAGATTCACTTGCATTTTTTGCAGCAGTGCTGCAGAGTTCATCCTCAGGGGGACCTGCTCCCTTCAATCAAGGTGCTCTGGGTCTGTGAATTTACTTAGTCTGGAAACTGGATGAGAGGTCTTGACTCTTCATTGTGGTGACTCAAATCAGGTTTTTGGCAACTAGACTTGGACTTTTTTCTGTTATATAGATCAAGTAATGCTTTATCAGGCTGCTCATCAATTTTGTTCCTAGAGATACCACAATTAATTAGTCATTGCCAAACATCCCTGTGGGCAAAGGCTTTCTGATTACCAGTACCTCTCTGCTGCACTCCATGGCAATCATGTCCACCTTCACTTTGGTAGTTAAGTGCTGCCACATGTCCTCTGGCACTCCATGAGCCCATCATCCCCATAAGGTGTTCCCATTCTAAGTTGCAGGGTCCTATTCTTTACCAAGGAACCCTAACTTGCACATGAGAAACTTGGCATGACTATGAATTCATGTGTAATAGTGTTATACTCCACCTTCCTTGGTCTAACACCCTTAGAAACCATTCCCATACATATCCCCTGGGTTTCCGTCAATATATATCAGTAAAGTCTTGTAATTCTTTTGGAGTGTAAGCTATTTCCTTCTGAGTTATAGCTATCTGAGTTATCTATCAACCTGGAATCTGCTGAGATTTGACCCTAGTGATGGATCCAGGGACAAAAGGGGTGATTGCAGTCGGTCTTGAGAATGAGCATCCCTTTTCAAGGCATCTGCCTCAGATGAAGTTATTATCACAGGGTTTTCAGGAAAAGGAAGAGTAATCTCAGACATAGGAGGGCAGGCTAATTCCACTGGCAAGAGAGGCTTACAGTGACTTGGGGGTTCAAGATTGTCAATTACATAAATCTGAGTCCAACCAGGTGTTCCCATTCTAAGTTGCAGGGTCTTATTCTTTCCCAAGGAACCCTAACTTGCACATGAGAAACTTGGCATGACTATGAATTCATGTGTAATACTGACTGAAACATCATTAAAACCAATAATAGAAAAACGGTGCCACATTATTATTATTACTACTACTAAACATTACACTTGCCATTCTATCTGTACAATAATCCACAAACTGGAAATAGACATATAAATAATGAAAGGGAAAATATAAAACTGTTATTATCCACAGTCAATAAGATTTTCTACCTAGAATATCCAAATGAATCAACTGAAAAACCATTAAAACTAATATGACAGGACATAAGGAATCTAGAACAATATTACAAAAATGAATAGCATTTCCATATACCATGCACTTAGAGACATGTCCACTGACAAAAGGATGGTTACCTAAATTTTGGTATAACCCCCTCATGGCATGTTATGTAGCAATTGTACCGCCTTAGAAAACATTAAAGACAGGGACTTCCCTGGTGGTACAGTGGTTAAGAATCTGTCTGCCAGTGTAAGGGACACAAGTTTGAGCCCTGGCCAAGGAAGATCCCACATGCTGCAGAGCAACTAAGCCTGTGCGCCACAACTACTATGCCTGATCTCTAGAGCCTGTGAGCCACAACTACTGAGCCCACGTGCCACAACTACTGAAACCCACATGCCTAGAGCTTGTGCTCCGCAACAAGAGAAGCCACCGCAATGAGAAGCCCGTGCACCGCAACAAAGAGTAGCCTCCACTTGCCATAACTAGAGAAAGCCCATGCGCAGCAATGAAGACCCAACACAGCCAAAAATAAATAAATAAATCTATGTTTTAAAAAAAGAAAACATTAAAGACAAAGTAAATTCTTTTAAAAAACTGAGTCTGGGGCTTCCCTGGTGGCGCAGTGGTTGAGAGTCTGCCTGCCGATGCAGGGAACACGGGTTCGTGCCCCGGTCTGGGAAGATCCCACATGCTGCGGAGCGGCTGGGCCCGTGACCCATGGCCCCTGAGCCTGCACGTCCAGAGCCTGTGCTCCGCAGCGGGAGAGGCCACAGCACTGAGAGGCCTGCGTACCGCAAAAAAAAAAAAAAAAAAA